TATGGTCGAAGTCGATCCACATGGTCAACGTGCGATGCCCTGGACTGAAGCACCTTTGAGATGTTGTGTTTTCAAAAGTTTGTCGAAAGGACTGACGTGATTTCAGGGTCTAAGGCTCAGGTACACTCCCTGAAAGACTCATGGAGCTGGACAATGGGCTCCTTGGATGACCATTTCCCTCTACAAACTGGCTGTGAACTCCACTTCCATGTTAGTTCTTCTCAGAGTTCAGTGACCCACGAGTTGAACACCAACCCTTCCTATGATTGGGTCCATCCGGTGTTCAAAAATCTGCTGAAGGAGAAGGACCTGGGCTCGACTTCAAGTACCATAGATAATGGGACATGACCCTATGAGAACAGGTACTGGTACTCATTTTCAACAGGAACGAACTGAGACTCCATGGCTTTAGTTCCAGGTTGGGGTGGTGAATGAAAGAGCCAGAAGGGTGCACATGATCAATCCACAGAGTGACACCCATTCGCGGATGGTTTATTGTTGCAACATGTTGGTTAAGACTTTAAGACTTTGTTGGACCAATCAAGGCGACCAAGACCCCCCCGTTTCAGGCCGTAGCCAAACACATGCTTCGCGGTCAGCTGCGGACCGCGGTCCGTCCGGCACCACCGGCACCGAGGTTCGATTGCGTCCCGTGCGCCCGAAACTGGGACGAGTTCACAGCCAAACGTGCGTAACAGCTATGGCAGTTCGCATGAGCACATGGTGAAGCGCAGTGAAAGGACCATGGAGCCTCCAAAGTAGGGGGACGGACCGGAATCCTTTGGAGGGGTCCGCACTACCCCAAAATCCCTGGGTCTTCAGGGAGCAAGGCCTGTTTGGAGCCTTTAAGCCTTTGGGTGGCCATCAAAAATACCCCCAATGTGGATATGGAACATGTGTTTTCCTTAGGCCCCCTAAGGGGTGTCTAATTATAGCTCCTTAGAGGTTAAGGGGCCAGGAGTATCCATTAACCACCCCAAACAGGGGGCCCTGGTACTATTTGGGATCTTGTTGGACTCCCGTCGTCCACACCCTTTGAGTGAAGTCGTCGCGCCGGTGTGGCTCAGCCGGGCGTGGGGGGGGGGGCGAAAACGTCTCCGACGCGCCCGAGATCGCGAGGCAGGGGCCGTTTTTTCGTTCCCATCACCCACTCTCTGGCGTGGGCGGTCGCGCCACTCACACTCGAGTGGAGGGATTTCCGCACCTGGATGGTCGACTGGTGGAACGGTGTCGATAACTCACAAGGTGGAAGAGTGAAGGTTTGGAAATGTCTGGAAGAAGGAATCATGTTGACGTGAAGACAGAGCACGTTGTTGGTAGCAACATGGCCAAGATGTTGTTGTTTTTTGGTTTGGCACGAATCCGTGCGATCTACAAACCCTGTGCGCTCCGTGCGAAGTTCGTTTTGGAAAATCCGCTTCACGCAGACGGGGTGGCCAAGCTCAGCTCGGCCAAGTGGCGAGGCCAGTTGATCTGGATCTCGTGAAGGATGATCGAGTATGAGGTGCCTTGGCTCATCAGTTGATGTTATGTCGAACATGCAGAACTGCCCCAGAACATGGGACCAAAACTCAAAATTCAACATCTCTGCCGTGTTTTTTGGAAACCGCCCAATGTGGGCCAACACCAAATCGTCGCTGTTGTTTTGGTACTTATATGTGTAATATATATATATAAGTGGTTTCAGAGTAGATGGCATATTCCTTGTTTACATACCCATCTCAACGACCTGTTCGGGGCTTTGTCCCATATCTATACTCTGAAACCACAGAAGAAGAGCATACCTCCAGCGTCTCAGCGTCTCATGCGTGCCATGGGTCACCTGGCTGGACGGTCACCCAGACCACTGCTTTTGGGTCTCAAGAACGGGCGGCCCTGGCCCTGGAAGCCTGGAAGTTCGACATGATTATATACTTGGAACTGGAATCTTCCAGCTGATTGGCCCGTAAACATGCCCAAAAAGCACCAACAAAAGAGGTCGTGACTTCTCTCATATCTCGTCATCCAGGACTAGACATAATGGGAAGACTAACAAAAATAACAACCCCCACCGGTGTTCGCCTATACCTCTTTATCAGCATCCAACCCAACAATGAAGGGGTTAAAATAACACATCCATGTGTTTGGGATCGGTTCATCTTCTACTTCCTCAGGATGATCGTTGGACTCGTCGGGTCGATGATGACTCTTTTGGACCACCGCGCGCGCCACCCACCGGGACCTAGACGAGTTGGTGCAGGATGGCTTGCAGATCCTCTGTCGGCTACGAGGCTCTGTCTTTCCTTTGGCCTTCTTGCTCACTCTGCCCAGCCGCTGGGGTCGAGAAAGGGTCAAGGAGAACTGGAGACTTTTAGCCTCGAACCCCCAGACATGAGGCTTTGTTGGGATAGGGGAAAAAGCATGTTTGGGCTCCAAATGTTGTGTCACTCACAGTCAGGTTCTAGATTTGGTATACATAAGCTGAGTTAGACTCCCTGGAACAATCATGTCCTCTACAAACAATTGGTTTTCCAATTCAATTCCCTGATGATTTCAGGGAGTGTGCTTAGTATGTACATGTTGCACTGGGATTGCTGGGTCAACAAGAAGGAGGAAAGAAGAAGAACATGAAAAGGACAGTGAAGAGGACCTACACAGTAATCACTATTGATCACTATTAAACGACCACCAGGAAGATCAAGCAAAATGTCCGGCAGATGTGTTCAGTGACCAGCCAGCAGCATAGTGAACAAATCCAATCCTGAACGAAGCTGAACTATTGCCACTGCAGAAGACCTGAAGCCTTCAAGTCCTCCACAAACTTGCAGCAACAAACACATCCAAACAAAGTCCTTCTGCAGAAATTGAGTGTCGACAGCGGATGTTACCAATTCTCAGTCAATGCGCATTCCTGCGTGAGCGCCGCTCTCCCTGGGGATTTGACATCAAGAGTCGACATTCCCCACAAGTCCAAAGTCCCAGCAAAATCATGTAAAGCACACCGGGAGAAAAAGGTAAAAAAACACTGATGGGACGACTTTTTGTTTTCGAGGATTTTAGCCTCGAATCGCTAGGGACGTTTGGTCCTTCGATTCCGGATGTCCCACACCTGGCGCTCACCTGAGCTGAGGTGTTATACTCACTGGCGCTTGGTGCTTGCTCATCAATGACGTGACCGAGCCACGGCGAAGCCCAAAACCACGGGCCACAGCTTGTCCCCCGGGCCCCCCTTTAAGCCCGGCAAGCCCATATAGCTGTTGTTGAATCATGTTGAATCCAGAAGCACCATATGTTGTTCCATGTGGTTCCCTGCTTTTCATCGTCCTTTCCGTAGGCTTAGATCTAAAAAACCATTGCAAACGTCTGCAGAACATCACACGAATCTCATAGTTTGGTTCACCTTCGGGATGGAACTCTCTCCCTTTGCCTAGGCCAACCAAGCAAAAACCACTGATGACCACCCCGTCGCGCCGTCGCTTCCGATCTGTTCTTGCTTCCTTCGGTGCCCGCCTTCGAACCCAGGAGACCAGCGAGGTGTTGGAGACCATCGTCCAAGATGACTTTAATAAGAGCCAGGCCGTGCGCTCGCGTTGTTTTCTGGTCCCCGCGGGTGTCTGATAAAACATGGCCGTGGCAAAAAAGGGCGTTGGATTCCTGGCAAACCCTCCCAGACCCCTTTGAACATACAATTGGAGACATGTGTTGTTGTCGGCGAGCTGGTCCGCGCCAAAAAGCGCAGGTCGATGTTCCGGCGGCTTTTCCGATGACATGTAGAATCTAGAGCTGTACAAACTGTTAACAACTTGGCAATCAAACAGCAGGCTCATTGTGGTCGCTTGCACTGGTCGCTGGCGTGTTTTCGCCGTGTTTTCGCTCGCCAAATCCAGACGAATCCGTGTCACCCAAAGCTCTTTTCTGGACCTTCGCAGCGACTTCAGGGGTTGTTCACCTAATGTTTTTGTTGGTGTCAATCCTCCCTCAAGCCCAGCCTGGATGGATTCGGATACAACCATGCCCAGATGGACAATTTCATATGCACCCTACTGTAGCCTTCCAAGACCTTTAAAAGTAAGGTTGACCTGTTGTTGTAGTGCAAATTCCTTGGGAAGACAATGGTGGTTCGGTAAAAAAATATTTATTATATCAATGTTTGTTGGAAGCCTAGGGTGCTTATGGCCATTCATGTGGCGTTCCAAGACCATCACAGTAGAGGTTGAGCTGGCTTGAGCGTCTAAACTCGTACGACCATGCTTCTTCGGTAAAGACTGTTAAAGAGATGGGTGGGCCAGGAATCGTATGCATAAAGACAGGCTGTCATCATGGATTTCATCAGCTTTGATGTTGCATATGTATTTCAGTTTTTAGGGATGTCATTGTGGATTTCATCAGTTTTGATGGATTTCATATGTATTTCATGAGTTTTTGATTACATGGGATCTCTTGCATTTTCCAGGTGTGGAGTGCCCTCACAGCCTCCTTGTCGTTGCTCATCGCCTTCCGCACGCGGCAGGCAGGGATGGCAGGGGGGAAGCGATGTGGCTTCAGAGTAGATGATAGGAGAGGCATGCTCAAATATATTCAAATATATGTTCAGGACTAGGTGGTTTGTGGTGTTTATGCACATAGCTATATACTAAACCACGCTATAACATGCCGAAACCAACACGTCCCTTGGAACGACCTGCCAAACCGGTGGGCAAACTCCTTGGTACCATCATGATTTGTACAGAGAAACCCGCGAGTGAGGTACCACCCAACTGATCGGGGAGTGCCAGTTCTAAGCAGTAGCTGGGGGCTGCAGGGTAATATATATATATATATCCCTGCAGGGAAGATGCCTGTATGAAGTGTACTGCAGTGAAGTGGTGTGATTTGGTTGTTGAACCTGGATGAGTAGTTACTTCAGCCTCCAATCAGCGCCAGGAACCAGGTTTCGCCAGGAGCATGTTTCTCTTGAGCTGAGTGACCTGGGATCTTGAAACCAGGACCGCAGTTCTCCCAGACTCGCCGCCCTCGCCCTCGGCTCCAGCATTCACGGAGTCAACGGCCCGGGAGTCCAACCGGACCGCCAACCGCCGACGCGGACGCGGACGCGAACGTGACCGACGCAAGCGATGCGGTCGAGCCGTGTTCTTGCAAGCGTGGTGGCTTTGGCCGTGGCTGAGCGAGAAGATGCTGTTGGAGTCGGCAGGGACGGTCCCGTTTTTTTGGTTGAATCAGCGATGAACCACCCTGTATCGTAGATCCCTGTAGCTTGTTGGGTTGCTAATAGAAACAGCAGTGCTGGCAGCTGCAGCTGCACTGTGAGGTCTTGTCGGTTGCGCACCACTTGCTGTGCTTGATTCTGCCCCCCAAGACAAGCAGCAGGTCAAATGCAACTTTGGGATCAAACAGCCACAACATGCGACAACGTCATAAAACGACTACACGTCTAAGTCTACACTTCAATGCCTGACCATGCAGGGTTTGCAGCGTGTTTATCCTCGAAATATACACCTGGACCTTCAAGGGGTGTCCAATGGAGGTCCCTTAGTGGGGTAGGGGCTTCCATTGGTGACCCCTTTTGAAAGTGCTGGTAGCTTTGCCTCGTTTGGCGGCACGTCACCAGCGGTGCCTTCAGGTTGCTGCAGTTCTGCTGCTAGCGCCCTCCATGGCCTTCAGCGCCAGCCCACCACCAGCTTTAGCACCGGCATCGGCCACCGCCCAGCGGGGCTCGCGGAGCTTCCAGGCGACTTCTGGACTCCATGGGACTGGAAGAGTTGCTGACTCCATGGGTCGTCAATGGGCCGCTTCAATGGGTCGGCAACTGTTCCAGTCCGCTTCACCAGGGCCCTGGTCGCTGGGCTTCCATGTTCGGGGTGCGGACACCGGACACCGGACCTCCGCTCTGGACCGAGGTTAGGGCCGGCCCTCCACCCGGAGATTGCACAAACGGGTGTCAGAGTAGATAGCGGCAACCCCAAGATGTGGTTGACAGATGACGGCACCCAGTATATATCAACTACTCTATGGGGATTGTGCCATCTACTCTCAACCCACTAGAAATCAAGTCAGGCCCTGCTGCTGGAGGCTGGCAGACTGATTGAAATGCCCCTCCTGTCATATAATCATATTAACCGATGATCTTTGAAAAGGTCCTTAAATGGAATCACCAATGTGGATTTGACACATGGAAGCCAAGTGTTGTGAAGTGGGGCCACGGATCAAAGACATCTGATCAGTCGCTCCAAAACCGGTCCTCGAGTCGGTCGATGCCGGTGTCGCGAGTCGGGAAGAGGGCACACGGGCACTCGGACCGTCACCCGAGGCGTAGCACGCGCAGATGAAGTAGCGATGCTGCTGCTGCTGCTGGTGCGGCTGCTGCTGCTGCTGCTGCTGCTGATCATGATCATGATCATGATCATGATCATGATCATGATGATGAGATAGCTTCACTGGCACACTCACAATCCACGGTCACACGGACATGCGATGTTGATGAGCACGCTAATACGTTGTTGCATCGTTGTTGTCTATGATGATGCTCATGACGATGATGGTGTTCATGATGAAGTTGAGGGTCACGACGGCGGTAGCGATGATGGCAAACTGAAGGCAACGGTGCAAATGACGATGATGGTGAGTATGATTCTGACTCACTGACCCCGACAGTTAAGAATCTCACACTCCAAACTTCCCAGCAGTTGCAGTCACAGTTCCTGGTGAGAACACTCTGTGCTGGAGAATCTCGCCGTGTTGAGGCAGGTTCTCAACTTCAACATATTCTGGAAGGATTACCGGATCAATTTTCTTTTGTGAACAAGGGTGTTACTTATTGTGTGTTCAAAGTAGATGGCGCAAACCCTAAGATGTCTATCGAGTTGCCACGAGGATGATGCTGATATTGTTGATGATGAT